CACAGCGTTGCGAATAATATTCACATAGAGGCGGCCGCGAAACCGTAGTAAAAGACTTCTCGCCAGCAGAAATCAAATGCCCCTCCAGGGTCTCGAAGATGTCGTCTGGAGATGCACTCTCTTTAATTAAGTGCGGGTCCACCGTCTTAAGTGAATCACGCACGCGTTCAAGAAACTCTCGCTTGTGGGTGCACTTCTTCGAGGCCATCATAAGAGCGCCTCGGTCCCATCTCAGAGCGGTTTCACATTGAACTTCAGGAGAATACTTAGCATAATGCATGACGCACACCAGCGGTAAATGATCACGGGGAGCCGCACCACGCTGCAGCTGCAACTTTGCACCCAACTTCGGGAAAGTGCAACAAGTGATGGTCATAACGCTCTTGTCCGCTGGGTAACTGAGGTAATCCACGCTGGAGCTATATGTGTCACCAAAGAAAGTCGGCGAGCTTCTCCCACCCAACGCGTTGCCAGCTAGAGGCCTATGTTCCTCCAGAACTGCTCGAAAACAGTGCACCAGCTCCATCATCCGTGCGCTCCAGTGTAGGAATACCGATAGCACCTGAACGCAAATCCACACTGCCCGAGCCTCGCGTCTGTAAACCCATCCCATCATTCAAACCACAGAAGATAAACGGTGTTGAACGCGCCGGCGTTTGTGCTAAAATGTCTTGGGGCCAGTCTCTCAAGATTCGTACCGTTCGGAAATAAGCTCGTTTTTTTTCTGTAGTCGCATACCTCGAGGCGGAAAGCAAAAAGAAACCATAGTTAAATCTTGGCGTCCACGCTTGACTCGAACTGCAATTGCTCTCCCACGAGCTTCCTGCGGAGAACACCAGCTGGCCACGATGTGGTCCTCCTTCAAAACCCCGCCGAGCACGATAGCACATCCACAACTTGAGGTCGCGTGCGGGCTGGGGCCAAAAGGCGCCTCGAGAAGCAATCGTCCTGCTACACGTCGTCGAATATCTGGCTGTCTGTATGGTTCTGGCGGTAGTCGACGGGCTGCGTTCCTGCAAGAAGCACCGCGTCGAAGTTCCGCAGCTCCGTGACCATCTCCTCATGCCTCGCGCCTGTGCAGCTCTGCGGGTTCCAACCCAAGATTCGCAATCGATGCATCCGCGCTGAACCGCATCCTGCGTGTCTGGTCAAAGAAACGCTCTGGCAGGAGGCAAATCTATGTGGGCAGCTGGCCCACTTGTAATTGTGTGCTCGGGCCGACAGGGCTCACCAGAGGCCCCCAGGAGGGCCCCAAAACGACCCAAGAGGCCCAAGACAGCCCAAGGGGCGCCAAAGACGGCCCAAGAGGGCCAAAAGACGGCCCCAAGAGGGGGCCAGATGAAGAACCCCAAAGGACAGTTCGAGCCCTCGGCCCCCAGAAGGGGCCCCAGGAGGCCCCAAGGGGCCCCCAAGAGGCCCCCACAAGGCCCCAAGAGGCCCCCAAGAGGCCACCGAGAGGCCACCGAGAGGCCCCCAAGAGGCTTCCAAGAGGCCCAAAAAAGTGCCCATAAGAGGCCCCCGAGAGCGCTCCGAAACGACCCGAAGAAGCATTCCTGAGAATTCTGACCCACAAGATGATGATGACGATGAGAATGGTGATGATGATTGTGATGATGATGATGATGATGATGATGATGATGATGATGATGATGATGATGATGATGATGATGATGATGATGATGATGATGATGATGATGATGATGATGATGATGATGATGATGATTATGGTGGTGATGATGATGGTGATGCTGCTGATGATGACGATAATGATGATGGTTATGCTGTCGATGATGATGGTGGTGATGGTGATGGTGATGGCGACGGCTATAGCGAAGGCAATGGTGATGGTGATGGTGATGATGATGTTGAGGATGACAATGATGATACTGATGATACTGATGATGATACTGATACTGATACTGATACTGATACTGATACTGATACTGATACTGATACTGATACTGATACTGATACTGATACTGATACTGATACTGATGATGATGATGATGATGATGATGATGATGATGATGATGATGATGATGATGATGATGATGATGATGATGGTGATGAGGATCCGGCAACGTGCCTTCAGCATGTAGTGGAGTGCCCCATGGCTCCTGCAGCCCTGAGAAGGTCAAGAGCTCTAAAGGCGCAAAGGGCCCAAAAATAGGCGCAGAGGGCCACGCAAAGACTCCAGAGGGCCCAAGAAGCCTCCGAGACGGCCGAAGAGCTTTCCAATATGCCCAAGATAGCTTCATAACGCCTCCAAAGGTCCCCCACACGCTTCGATGGAGCTCCAAGAGGAGCCTCCAAGAAAGCCCCAGGAAACAAAAACCGGCCCACTCCCTTCAGGAAACGTGCATTGTGGGCTTCGTCGCCTTCTTGGTCATAACAGCGTCCAAATCGGACCAAGAAGCCTCCACGGTCGCCCCAATACGGCCCCAAAGGCCCCCAAGATCGCCCCAAGAAGGCCCCAGAGGCCCCCAGGAGGGCCCGAAAACGACCCAAGAGGCTCAAGACAGCCCGAGGGGCGCCCAAGACGGCCCAAGAGGGCCAAAAGACGGCCCCAAGAGGGGGCCAGATGGAGCACCCGAACGGACAGTTCGAGCCCTCGGCCCCGAGAAGGGGCCCCAGGACGCCCCGAGGGGCCCCCAAGAAGCCCCCACAAGACCCCAAGAGGCCCCCAAGAAGCCACCGAGAGGCCCCCAAGAGGCCCCCAAGAGGCTTCCAAGAGGCCCAAAAAGTGTCCCCAAGAGGGGCCCCCACCCGAAGAAGCATTCCTGAGAATTCTGACCCACAAGGCAGGCACGGTGGCGGGATGGGCTGACGGCCATTTGGTCCGCCGCCCCCTGCTTGCAGGGGTGCACGGCGTGCTGGACGAGCTGTTAGGTTTTGGTTTTGGTTCTTTTTCCAAAAGAACTCCCCAGTGGGCTCCGGCAGAACCCGCCGGCCACCCGGAAAATCCCCAAACGTGCTCAACGACCGCAAAAATCCTCCAAAAAACGGCCGTTTCGCTCGGGACATCCTCAACAAATCGCGAAGATGGCCCAAGATGGCCTCCAAGTCCGCCCGAGATGGTCCAAGACGGCCTCCAAAACGGCCCAAGAGAGTCCAAGACGGCCCAAGACGGCCCAAGAGGCCCCCCAGAGGCCTCCCAGACGGCCCAAGAGGCCTCCAAGAGGTCCTCCAGGAGAGTCCGAAGAGGCCAAAATCATTGATTTTCCCTTGGTTTTTGAAGGATTTTGGCATTTGCGCCTTTTCGGCTCTCCGACGGCTCAAGACGGCCCAAGAAGCCCCCAAGATCGCCCAAGAGGCCCCCAAGAGAGCCCCCTGATGGCCCAAGTGGCCTCCAAGATGGCCCCTAGAGGGCCCCAAGAGGGCCCAAGAGGCCTCCAACACGCCCAAGATGGCCTCCAAGACGCCCAAGATGGCCTCCAAGACGGCCCTGGAGCGCCCCAAGAGGGTCCCCCGTTGGCCCAGAAAGGCCCCCAAAACGGCTCCCGACGGCGTCAGACGTGCCAGGAACCCACCAAGATGGCCGAAGTTGGCTCGAAGCTGGCCCAAAAGGGCCCAAGAGGCCCCCAAGAGGGCCTCCAGGAAGGCCAAAAGATGCCAAAATCACTGATTTTCCCAAGGTTTTTGATGGATTTGGACATTTCCCTTCTTTCGGCCTTCCGACGGCCCGAGACGGCCCAAGAGCCCCCAAAGATCGCCGAAAGATCGCCCAAGAGGCCTCCAAGACGGCGACGATGACCATCAAGACGCCCACGTGTTCCCCGAAGGCTTTCCAAACCGATTCGGGGAACACATGGTCCGATGGCTTGGCAGGTCTGGTCTCAACGTTCGGCCACATAGGCGCTTCCACAAAGGCAGGGGGCGGCGGTGATTCGCCGTAGGCGTCTTCGATAATGATGATGATGATGATGATGATGATGATGATGATGATGATGATGATGATGATGATGATGATGATGATGATGATGATGAAGAGGAGGAGGAGGAGGAGGAGGAGGAGGATGAGGATGATGAGGATGATGATGATGACGATGATGACGATGATGATGATGGTGATGGTGATGGTGCTGATGATGACGATAATGATGATGGTCATGGTGTCGATGATGGTGATGGTGATGGTTGTGGCGACGGCTATAGCGAAGGCAATGGTGATGGTGATGGTGATGATGATGTTGAGAATGATAATGATGATACTGATGGTACTGATGATGACTCGCATTGGTTGTTTTCTGTGCGATTGGGGGCCCGAAGCGAGCCCAGGAGAGGTTTCATCTCTGAGCGCCCGCGGCGGCGTTACTGCCGCGTAGAGGCATATGGATTGGCCCTGTCGTCCTCCTCCTCCTCCTCCTCCGTCCTCCCTCCTCCTCATCCTCCAGCTGCTCCTCCTCCTCTTTCTCTTTCTCGGCGGGGAGCTCTGGGCCCGAGGGGCGAAAAGCCCCCGCACCCCGGGGGACGCCGCCAAAGTGCGGTTTCCTTCCCCCGAAGGGTTGCCAGGTCCCGTGGCCTCCCCCAGGGCGGTGCTGGATCCCCCCCCAGCGCTCGCCGCCCTGGGGCGGGACCGGCGGCTTGTCTCTGTCGTGTCGTTCGTCCGTGTCGTGTCGTGCGTGTCGTGTCGTCCGTTGCGTCCCCCCATCGTGTCGCGTCGTGTCGTGTTCCCTTTTTTGGTTCGGTCCTGGGGGTCCCGGGGTCCGAAACCGCGGCCACCTATGGAGTAGGTGGTGGGTAGGTTGGGCGTCGGAGCACGGCTCCGGCGCCCCCTACCCCGATCAGGGAGCGCGGAGCACGGTCTCCTTGCGTTCCCTGTTCGCGCTTAGGGCACGCCACGGGGGCATGGCCCCGACAGTGGCGCTGCCGCTGCAGTCTCAGCCTCCTGGCTGTGCTGTGAGGATCTGCAGACTGGCGTTAGCAATTGCTCGCCAGTAGATGTCGCGTCAAAAAATCCTCCTCTTTCTCGCCGCTCCAGTCTTGAATGGGGCTCACTCCTGTGTGGTCGTAGCAGCCCTGGGTCTTGCCCGTCCAGTCTCCTGGGGGGAGGGGCGCAGCCATCTGCCGGCCGGGTCCAGGAGTCTCTGGCGGAGACGCTCGGGATCGCCCTTCGCAGGTCGCCTGGCCTCCATCGAAGGTCTCCCTTGGGCCTCATGGGCCTCCGTTGCGTTCTCTGACTTTCTGCGGATCCTGCTCCTCCTCCTGCTCCCCCTCATCCACCTGCAATCGCAGGCAAACATAGGCCGCTGAACGCCCAGGACTAGCTGGAAAAGAGACTTGAGACGCCCGCACGTGAAATTGGCACGAGAGAAGGGAGTGAACACGCTTCCTGGGCGCTGTGCGTCGCAAGCTCCAAGCCTTCCCCTAACAAGACTCTAGAGTCAGGGACGACGAAACCGACAAAGATTACGACTTCGACGACGACGACGACGACGACGACGACGACGACGGACGGACGACGACGACCACGACAACATCGACGACAACAACGAGACGGACGACGGCCACGAACATGTCGACGAAAACGACGCTGCCGACGACGAGACTAAGACGACAACAAGGGAGTCGACGACGACAAAGACGGACTACCACAAACCTGTCAACGACGACGACAAAAAACAACGACAAAGAGGACTACGACGACGACGAAAATTTCCGCGCAATCGATGACGGCACCGACGAAGACGATGACGACGACGATGACGACGACAACGACAACGACGACGACGACGATGACGATGACGACGACGACGACGACTATCAACGACGAAGACACCGACGACGACGAAAACGGCCACGACCATGCAGACGAGGACGACGACGACGTCGACGAGCGGTTCGAGCGGGCCTTGCGAGCAAACGAGCGGACGGACCCTCACTGGCGGGTCTAGCGGGCGGACCGTAACGGACAGGCCTGGCGAACGGAACAGTGAATCGAGCGGGAAGAGCAGACCCCAACTGAACGGGCTGGTCGGGCGGCCCCGATATCCAATCGAGCGGAAGGACGGGCGGGTCGAGCAGGCTGACAGCTGACCCTAACAGGCGTTCCTGGCTGGCGGAATATTGAGGCGGGCGAGTGGTGGGCTTGCGAGCAAGCGAGCGGACGGACCCTAATTGGCGGGTCGGGCGGGCGGACCCGAACTGGCGGGCCTGGCCGGTGGAACATTCAAAGGAGCGGGAGGACCCGCAAGCAAGCGAGCGGGCAACGTCGTCGTAGCCGTTGTAATCCACGGAACCGTCGTCGTCGCTGTCGTCTTCGAAAACTTCCTCCTCCTGCTAGCTGCGTTCGTCGTCGTCCGTCGTCGTCAGCGTCATCGTCGTCGGCGGCGGCGGCGGCAACGGCGGCGTCGGAATTGGTGTCGGCGTCGGCGTCGGCGTCGGCGTCAGCATCAGCGTCAACGACAGCGTCGGCGTGGTGGTGGTGGTCGGCGTCCTCGTCGTCGTCAACGTCGTCGTCGTCGTCGTCGTCCGCCGTCGTCGTCGCCCGGGGGGGTCGAGAGAACTGACCCCTGAAGCACCCGCAGAAGACGGTTCTCTCAAACGAAGCGGTCCCGAAAGAAAAAGGCCCTGGACATCCCGGGGCACCCTCCGGGGGGACCAGCTTCTGATCCTGAGTCGTGCTTTCCACGGTCCAGAAACCTAGAACATGCGACAGGAACCACAAAACGGCGAACAAAACGCCGGATCCCGTCCCTTCATGGTGAGCGAAATGAAGACGAGGCCGCAGGCGAAACGATTAAGCTGATCGGAGCAGCGGGCGCCGAAACTGGCGAGATTCGGCCCCTCCGGTGCAGGGGAAGGGGGGAACAAATCCGAAGCTGCGCTTGTACATGCAGCGATTTCAGAAGAAGGGTTGAGCAACGCCATGGCTCATGCATCTCCACACCTCTCGGAGTCCCGCAATTCAGCCCCAGATCCCTGGGGGGAAATGGGAAATGGACGTGGACTCCCCAAAGAACCACTCGCAAAAACGTCGGATAATATACACACTCGGACTGGCGGCAACCGAAGCGGGGCATTCGAGGCAACCGAACATGTGCAGCTGCACTGCACACGGACAGTCACCCGCCCCCCTCGGGGGATCCGGGCTCGAAACCGAGGGCAGTGGCGGAGAAACCTTCCATCGCCTACGCGTAAGGATTCATATAGGGAGTCGGTTGCAGAACTGATGCGCCCTAGGATTTGTTGTGCCGAACCGAACAAAACAATACTTCGCCAGAGAAAAACCCCAATCAATGGATGGTTTTTGCTGAAAAAGATCTACTGGGGAACTGGGAGCCCGGAAACCCAGAACTCACCGAAATCGGCCCGGAACCAATAACCGGGAACCCGGGAACCCGGAAACGGGAACCCGGGAACCCAGCCTGCTACCAAAATCGGAGGGCAACTGTCGCCAAATCTTTCAACTTCCGCTAAGGCTCCTTCAGTGCAAACACTGTCTGGGGAATGTAGAATGCTCCGTAGATCTAAGGAGCATTCGACGGAAAGAGCAATCAATTCGATAGTCAGTCTCTTATTCGAAAGTGACCCTCGGCAAGAGTGACCTCTGGTGCGCGGTTTGACGGGGCCGCTGTGGGAGCCAGATCGGCGGGACCTCTGTAATGGGAGGCGGTCGTGGGATCTGAGCTGGCGGGGACCACGGAAAAAAACGATCTGGATGGGGGGGGTGAAGCCAAACCCGCTTAAAATCGGCCTTTGGACCCATCCCAAGGTCCACCTAGTGCGAGGTTTCACCCCAGATCTGTTTTTAACGGCCCCGCGGCCCGATGACGTCCACCAAAAGCAAAAAGTCATTAATGAAAAAACTCCACACGCTAGAACCTCGAACCTCCTGGGCCACCTGAGGGACCATGCCGACTCCAAGCCGGGGGGGGCCTGTGCACCCCCACGAAAGGTCACTCTGGCGCAGGGCCAATTCTACGCAGGGCCGGCGCCACGGCGGCGCGGCAAACCGCCCAGGCCGCAGCGGGGCGGCCGCGTCCCCCGACGCCGTCGCCGTAGCCGGGGGAAACGCAGCCGGGAGTCTCGAAGACGGCGCCGCCTCGGGGCGCCCACCCCGCCCGCGCCGAGACGCGGGCACAAAACGGCCGCAGGGCCGCGGGACTGCGACGCGGCGGTGCTTGTGCGGCGACCCGCTGGCCAGCTCTCACGGCCCGCGGAGCCTTCGGGCCGAGCCCGAGCGCGCCGGGGCGGGCCCCGATGCGGCCAAGGAGGCCAATGGGATTAGCAGGCTCGACTCATCCCCATGCCTAAGGTGGATAAGCATCTAGGAGAGGGCAATCTTGGGGCGCACCCTCATGGGCAAAGAGTCATCTGTCAGGGGAGCGCTGTCCCTGGCAAAAGTGGGGCATGCTAGTGGTATAGAGCTCGTCTCCTTCATTGTCTGGAAATCGCGTAACGACATGACAGTTGTCCCCCAACGCTGCAATGTCTGTGGCATACGCAAGAGAAGGGGAGACGACGACACGGCAACGACGCGGCACGAACACCCCTTTTGCGATACTGATGCAGGCCCGCGGTACCTGTTCGAACAAGTACCCAGCTGCGGTCCGAGAAGTACAATATCGGCAGCGGCAGCGACCCGGCGGAGGCGGCACATAGACGGCGGAGGGAAAATTCGAACAACTCAGCCCGCGCCAGGATACGTAGGCATAGTTCCCGCTCACTTCGAACTCCTCGGCTTCGTGCCACCCCCAGGCACTTCGGCACCTCTGGCGCCACCCCGGAACAACAAATTTTACAGCGCACTGGGCGGGGTAACAGCTACAGCGGAGGTGCTCATGAAGAAGGTCGCAGTAGACTGACGCATCCCACACATAGAAAGTGCACAAAGTCACATGTAGGTGCGAAGGCCCACGATCAGGAAATGTGCCATGGTCTTTGGCAGCAGGTCAATATTCGGCACCGGTGGAACCGGCACCGTCTCCTCCTCTGTGTTCCAAAACGTCCTTTGCTCTTCCCTTCAGGGTTGAAATAATTGTTGTAGTCCTTGCAGTTCCAGAACTACCTTCTCCCCTCACTTACATTGTAGTTATAATGGTTACCATTTCCCACCGGCTAATGCATGGGGGTGTTCCATTTTCTAGTTTCTGCGGCGTCGTACTCTCTCTGCATCTCGACGATGACTCGCTGCTGTATGCTGGAAGCCTCTGATGCGGTGGCAATCGACGGGGGATCTGCTGGCCACAGATTATCCACTTAACTAGGTGTGATATCGGCCGATCTGCGTGTTCTTTGAGCGGCAGGTGGCACAGGAAGACTGCGACTCCTTGGCGTCCTCGCTGGCGTCAACGGCGGGGCAGGCAGCGCGTAGCGAACTGGTGGCAGCCCGGCTTTTTCTCGGTGAAGGAAGGTCACGCCCATTAGCTGACAAGGCCGGTGAGGCCGCCGGCGAGGACGCGCCTTGGATACTGGGTTGTAGGCCGCTGGCTGAATCAGCGGCCGCACCCGTTCCGAGCCCTGTATCCATTGCGTCACACGGCCCCAGACTTGCATTTGCCCCAGGCGCGGCGCTACTGGCTGAACCAGCAACGTCCCCAACAGCATGATCCGACGAAGCCCGCGGGGGCCCTCCGCGCTCTCCGCAGCGGGCACGGCGCCATCCTTTCACTCCAGGCCTCCCCAGTAGGGTCCGAGTGCGCAGATGGGGTCGGAGGATCGCGACGCATCGGCGATGCGACTCGATGTGCAGCCCGACTTCTCCACGCCGACGTCGCCAATGCATCGCCAATGTGTAAACCCGACCCCATCTACTCCGACCCCAGCTGGGAGGCCTCTATCCACGCCCCCCCTCGGCGGATCCCTCTGCTGGCGCGCGAGGCTCCCGGGGCCCATACCAGCCCTGCAGCGCAACGGTACAAGAGAGGGGGCGGATCCCGCACGCGCGCGGGTCGGCGGGATGAGGAGCGTGTACACTCGGTGCTGATTGGAGAGGACACGCAAGAGGACACAAGACCCTTCCGCGGGCCACATTGCCATAGGAATGTACTTCGAAGGTACGGCTTGCGAAGCACAAGAAACGAGGGTCCCGTGAATTGGCGAGGTCGACATACCAAACATCCTCGACTCTCGGGCACGGGCCAAGGCATCTGCAGAGGCGCGGCGGGAAGGGAGGAGGGGGAAGCGTTGATAGAGGCAGCTGCGGAAGCAGAGGGGGGAGGAGGGAACACACCTGCAGTAACGGGAGCAAGGTTCGCATGTCGCCATTCCTCCCCATTCCTCCCCATTCCCGCCAGCCGTTCCTTCCCCACCCCCTTCGCTCTCGAAGCCGAGGCCGCCGCCGCACAGGTTCCCGTTGTCGTTCGGGCGCACCGAAGGCAGGGGGGGCGGAACGAACAGGCAATCAAATGATGTAGGCCTCGACGAGGCCGCACAGGAAGACGATGGCAGTGGTGGGATTGTGACTCCGAAAGCAATCGAAGATGACGAAGTGATAACGAAATACAGGGATAGCACAGAGCAGCCGTCGTGATGACAAAGGTGGAGGCAGCCGAAAAACGACGATTACACCGAAGTCAAGGCCAGCATCGCCAAATTGAGCCCGAAACCGCATGGTTCTGCGGCAATTGCGCTGGCATGACAGGTGATCGGTCCTTGGCCAGCGGCTCCTTGACTCGCGACCATGGCCACATCACGCTCAGACTGGCCCAGACAAGGGACCGCCATCGCAAGACGGCTCGAAAATGAAAACCGTCCGCAAGCAACGAAAAGAAGAAACCAAACGGAATAATCAAACCGAGAAAAACGGAAACGGTGGAGTGCCCAACGGCGCATTCATGCGTGAATGGAAATGCGATTGTAGGATTCCTGAAGGCCCTGCCAACGAGCTTGCCACATTCCTGGGGCGCTCCTAGGCGTTGATTGAATTGTGGGCCTCTGGGGAGCCAAGCCAACCTTGACCGGCAACAACGTCATCCCTGAGTTTTTTTCCCGGAAAGGGCTCGGGCCCAGGGTTCTCTTTTAGTGGGTAAACCTGTCCCCCGGTGCCAACTTGAAGGAGGCCGGCGAATTTTTTCCCTGATAAATATCGAGGTCGAAGGAGGCCGGCGAATTAAAATTTGAGGATGTCTCGAGCGAAACGCTTGTTTTTGAAATCCCGATCGATAAATCACAGGGTGCGGGCCACTTTTTCGTGTGTTGAGGATGTCTCGAGCGAAACGCTTGCTCCGCAGAGTTTGCCGAGGATGTCTCGAGCGAAACGCTTGTTTTGCAGAGCCGACCGCGACGCGGAAAAGCGCCCCGCGCGAAGGAATTTCGATGATGTTTCGACTAATTTGTTTGTTTTTGTACGATTTCCTGGAATTTTGGCAGGATGTCTCGAGCGAAATGCACGACCCCACCCTAGCACGACCATACCCCAGCACGACCACACCCCAGCACGACCAGACCCCAGCACGACCCCACCCCAGCACGACCCCACCCCAGCACGACCATACCCCAGCACGACCACACCCCAGCACGACCCGACCCCAGCACGACCCTACCCCAGCAAGACCACACCCCAGCACGACCACACCCCAGCACGACCTCACCACAGCACGACCACGCCCCAGCACGACCACGCCCCAGCACGACCACGCCCCAGCACGACCACGCCCCAGCACGCCCCAGCACGACCACCCCCCAGCACGACCACCCCCCAGCACGACCACCCCCCAGCACGACCACACCCCAGCACGACCACCCCCAGCACGACCACACCCCAGCACGACCACACCCCAGCACGACCACACCCCAGCACGACCACACCCCAGCACGACCACACCCCAGCACGACCCGATCGATAAATCACAGGGTGCGGAGCACCCCAGCACGAACCCACCCCAGCACGACCCCACCCCAGCACGACCCCACCCCAGCACGACCACGCCCCAGCATGACCACACCCCAGCACGACCACACCCCAGCACGACCACTCCCCAGCACGACCCCACCCCAGCACGACCCCACCCTAGCACGACCACACCCCAGCACGACCACACCCCAGCACGACCCCACCCCAGCACGATCACACCCCAGCACGACCCCACCCCAGCAAGACCACACCCCAGCACGACCGCACCCCAGCACGACCTTACCACAGCACGACCACACCCCAGCACGACCACGCCCCAGCACGACCACGCCCCAGCACGACCACGCCCCAGCACGACCACGCCCCAGCACGACCACCCCCCAGCACGCCCCAGCACGACCACCCCCCAGCACGACCACCCCCCAGCACGACCACCCCCCAGCACGACCACACCCCAGCACGACCACTCCCCAGCACGACCACACCGCCTTGGTTGAGTGGTTGCCTGTCGTCGTGGAATGTTTCGTGGGGTGTCTCGTGGAATGTTTCGCGGGGTGTCTCGTGAAATGTTTCGTGAGGTGTCTCGTGGAATGTTTCGTGAGGTGTCTCGTGGGCTGTTTCGTGAGGTGTCTCGTGGGATGTTTCGTGAGGTGTTGCCCAGTTGGGTATCATGAAAACGTGTCCATGCTCCACATGTCTATATCCCTTTCCGGGTTCGTGGGTCCATCATGTTCGATAAACATTCAATATTGTCGGAACCCTCCTGAGCCCCAAGAGACGGTCCCAGGGCCCGCTTGGAGACTTCTCCAACCGCGCTGGAAGCCCTGAGGGTCAAACGCATGGAGAAAAAACGCACGCTTTGTGTAAAGTGTTTTGCCGGTCCTCCGTCAGGAGGGGATATTTCGCAATCCGACGAACAGGCAAAGCGCATTCGTATGCTCCTTGATGCTATTATTCCTGTCTGTAGTAGTTTCTTGCTCAGGGTCACGCAACCAATAGGGAACGTACTTTTCCCCGTCATTGCTTAAGTGAGTGCACCGTTAAACTAAGGCCCCGATGGACGGACCAGACCCGGCCGGCCGAGGAGGGCGCCCGAAGGGCGCGCGCGTCAAGGACATCGCGTTTCAGGGACTGCCGGACACCGCGTTCCGAAATGAGCGCGCTGCGCGCTGATGCGATTGCAGAACGCGCTCGACGGGCCTGACAGAATCGAAAGGTCTGACGGTGACGCCCTCGACGTGCCTCTTTCGGAGCTCCTCTTGCGGGCAGACCGAGCGCGCGGGTCAGGAGTCTCGGGCGTTGGGATCCACGGCCGACAGTCGGACTGGACAGAAGGCGGGGGAAGCCCGGCCGCATTGCTGCCGGCCCCCCCCCGGCCCCTGGGGCGCGCAAAGGCCCGTTTTCCGGTGCGCCGTCAGACCTTTTCCGTTTGATGGGCGGAGACATCATTGAGAGACTGACCGTCTTGCTCCTCTGCTTGGTGGAAGTTCTGGACAGGCCGTCCGCGGGCTTGCGCCCCACGATTCCCTCGAAATCCCGCTCAAGGGAATCGTCGGGAGGGGCGCGACCTCGTCGCAATCGGCGAGGGGGGCGGACGCAGAGATGATTCATCGGACAGGGGAGCAGGAGAACTGGCGCCACATGTCTCAATTTCCCCTCCCGGCGGCGGGTCAGCACTCCCATCGGCGAGCGGTTCGGGCGTTGATTCGAGGGAGACATGCTCATCTGATGAGATAGACCCCAAGTCTCGCTCGTCCTCCGAGAGGTTCACGGCGACGCCAGGGTGGCCAGCGATTGGCATCGGAAGTCTCAGCTGATCTTCGGACGATTACGCGGGCTCTGTGCCTCGACGCAGCCGGAGGAAGCAGCCGCAGGAACGTTCATGTTTATGCCGCAGCGTTGGTCTTCTTTCGTACATCGTCCACCGATGGGGAATACTAGAGTTGTGTTTTCTCTCTCTCTCTCTCTCTCTTGATCTCATTTTTTCCCGGAAAGGGCTTAAGCCCAGGGTTCTCTTTTAGTAGGTAAACCTGTCCCCCGGTGCCTGCTTGAAGGAGGCCGGCGAATTTTTTCCCTGATAAATAACGAGGTCGAAGGAGGCCGGCGAATTTTTCCCTGATAAATAACGAGCCCGCGAATTAAAATTTGAGGATGTCTCGAGCGAAACGCTTGTTTTTGAGCGCCCGCGAATTAAAATTTGAGGATGTCTCGAGCGAAACGCTTGTTTTTCAGAATTTGTCGAGGATGTCTCGAGCGAAACGCTTGTTTTTCAGAATTTGTTTTTTCTACCCCCTAGCACGACACCCCAGCACGACCACACCCCAGCAGGACCCCAGCACGACCACACCCCAGCACGACCACACCCCAGCACCAGCACGACCACACCCCAGCACGACCCGATCGATAAGTCACAGGGTTCGGACCACCCCAGCACGACCACACCCCAGCACGACCCCACTCCAGCACGACCCCACCCCAGCACGACCACGCCCCAGCACGACCACACCCCAACACGACCACACCCCAGCACGACCACACTCCAGCACGACCCCGACCCAGCACGACCCCACCCCAGCACGACCACACCCCAGCACGACCACACCCCAGAACGACCACACCCCAGCCCGACCCCACCCAAGCACGACCCCACCCCAGCACGACCAGACCCCAGCACGACCACACCCCAGCACGACCACACCCCAGCCGGACCCCACCCCAGCACGACCCCACCCCAGCAAGACCACACCCCAGCACGACCACACCCCAGCACGACCACACCCCAACACGACCATACTCCAGCACGACCACGCCCCAGCACGACACACCCAGTCGCACCCCCGTGGAATGTTTCGTGGGGTGTCTGGTTGAGTGGTTGCCTGTTCGTGGGGTGTCTCGTGGAATGTTTCACGGGGTGTCTCGTGGAATGTTTCGTGAGGTGTCTCGTGGGTTGTTTCGTGAGGTGTCTCCTGGGATGTTTCGCGGGGTGTCTCGTGGGATGTTTCGTGAGGTGTCGCCCAGTTGGATATCGTGAAAACGTGACCATGCTGCACATGTCTATATCCCTTTCCGGGTTCGTGGGTCCATCATGTATATATCGTTCTCTATCTCTCTCTCTCTCTCTCTCTCCCGACGTCTCTTTCATCGGAGACCGAACTCCCGGCTGATAACTCGAGTTGTGCCACTTCTCCGTCAGGAGGGGAGCTGTCGCAATCCGATTAACAGGCAAAGCGCATTCGTATTATTTGTGATGGTCTTCTTCCTGTAGCGAATGCTTGCTCACGTTCACACGACTGATCGGAGACGCATGTCCCCGCCATTGCTCAAGTGAATGCGCCGTTAAACTAAGGCCCAGATGGACGGACCAGACCCGGACGGCCGAGGTGGGCGCCCGAAGGGCGCGCGCGCGGCGGGGCGGGGCGCTCTTTTGCTATCGCAGCCGAAACAACTTCGGCGGGCATCGTCGTCAAACAGCGGCGTGGCGGCGATACGGCGGCAACGCAGAGGTGATGATTTGATCAACCTGGGAGTTGCCCATCGTCTGGCTGCTGGTACTTTAAAGAGTCCAAGACGGCCCAAAAAGCTCCCGAAACCTGGCCGAGAGGTCCTACGACTTCGCTTCAAATAGAGGAAACGAAAAAAAAAAAAAAAACACGCGAGCGCTTCGCGCGCTTAGGTTCTAGCAAGCCCCAGGCCGTGACAAGTTTACAAATCCTCTGAAATATGTACCCACACATGGCATGAACATGAAGCACACCGAAGCGTCAAAAAACGAGGGCCGAGCAGAGATCAATCACAGACAATGGCACATCCATAAAACAAATGCGAACCAATGCCAAGCAGTAAACATACTGGTCAGAATGGAGTGCCCATACTGGCACTGCAGTGCAACGCAGTGCCATGGAAACCACATGCGAGCGCCATGCAGCGAAAAGCAACACAAATGAAATGCAAGGCACTGCGATGCACAACAACGAATTACATGCAAATCAGAACAACGCGCGCCAGCGCAATGCCGTTTACGGAATCATGCCTGTGCACATCCGTCGAAAAAAAAACACAATAACGCAAGAGGCCGCACGAACCCGAGGGTTCCGCAACCTCAGGGACCCCAGGGATGTGTGCAAAATCAATGGTGGATGCCCCGAATCCGCCGCTGGTAAACATCCATATGACGATAGCGCATCAGCTCGTCCTTCTTCTCGCCCCCTCTCCTCCTCCTCCTCCTCCTCCTCCTCCTCCTCCTCCTCCTCCTCCTCCGCCTCCGCCTCCTCCTCCTCCTCCGCCTCCTCCTCCTCCTCCGCCACCGCCTCCTTCTCCGCCTCCGCCTCCTCCTCCTCCGCCTCCGCCTCCGCCTCCGCCTCCTCCTCTCCTCCTCCTCCTCCTCCTCCTCCTCCTCCTCTTCCTCCTCCTCCTCCTCCTCCTCCTCCCCCTCCTCCTCCTCCTCCTCCTCGTCCTCCTCCTCCCCCTCCCTCTCGCAATATATCGTCTGGCCGGCCGGCTGGGCCCGACCACGCGGCCTTCTTCCATGGAAAAAACAAGTGGCACGCGTGCCATGGCTCTTGCACAGAAGGGAGGGGGAAGGAGGAAGAGGTAAAGGAGGAGGACGGGAGAGGGATATAGGGTGCGAGAAATCGGAGAAGGTGAGCCCAACGAGGGATATAGGAGAGCCCAAGGAGGGATATAGGGAGAAGGATGTAGGTGAGCCCAACGAAGGACGCAAGATAGGCTTAAGAGGGCGAGCTCGAACAGGCTCCACGGCCCCCCCCCGCGAGATGGCCTCCAAGACTTCCAACATGCTCCCAGGAGGCCCCCAACAAACACCCAAACTGTTTGCAGAGGATCCGAAGAATTCCCCAGGGGCACGAAACGGAAGCGGAGGGGGCACGCGGCGGGCGGGGGTTCCACTGGGCCGCTGGGGAACGCTGGGGGATGGGGGGGGTGGGGGGCGGGGACGGGGCGCGCCGTGCGACGCGAAATGAAATAGTCAGGGCGGAGGATGGCACTGGGCGGAAGTTCCACTGGGCCGCTGGGGAACGCTGAAGAGAGAAGGGATGGGGGGCGGGGAGGAGGGGCGCGGTGCGACGCGGGATACAACTATCGGCGCGGAGGGGGCAATGAGCGGTGGTTCCATTGGGCCGCTAGGTAACGCTGGGGCGGGGGGGGGGCGGGAAAAGAGGGGGCGGCGGGGCGGGGCGCGAAGTGGCGTGGAATAACACGGTCGGGTTGGAGGGGCGGGGGCATTGGGCGGAGGTTCCACTGGGACGCCAGGGAACGCTGAAGGGAGAAAGGATGGGGGCGGGGAGGAGGGGCGCGGTGCGACGCGGAATACAACTATCGGCGCGGAGGAAGCATTGGGCGGTGGTTGCACTGGCCCGTTGGGGAACGCTGGGCGGGGGGAAGGTGGCGGGGGAAGGGGGGGGGCGGCAGGGCGGGGCGCGAAGTGACGTGGGGCGGAGGTTCCGCTGGGCCGCTGAACGCTGGGGTGGGAGGCGTGGAAAGGGGGGGCTGGGAATGAGGGGGAGTGCGGCGGGACGCTGATAAGGGGTGGGACAGCGGGGGGGGCGGCGGGGAGGGGGAGGGCGCGGTGCGACGCGGAATAACATGGCCGGGGCGGAACGGGCACTGGACAGAGGTTCCACTGGGCCACTGGGAAACGCTGGGGAGGGGTAGGAGGGGGGCGGCGGGGGGGGGGCGCGGTGCGACGCTGAATAAAATGGTCGGGGCGGAGGGGGCGCTTGGCGGAAGTTCCTCTGGGTTGCTGGGGTGCCCTGGGGAGGGGCAGAAAGGGGGCGGTGAGAGGGGGGCGAGGTGCGACGCGGAATAAAACTGTCGGGGCCGAGGGGGCAATGGGCGACGGTTTCACTGGGCCGCTGGAGAACGCTGGGAAAATGTACGGGCGGGGGGGAGGGGGCGTGCGGTGCGACGCGGGATCAAATGGTCTGGGCGGAGGGGGCAACGGGCGGATGTTCCGTTGGGCCGCTGGGAAACGCTGGGGAGGGGCAGGAGGGGGGCGGGGAGGGGGGAGTGCGGTGCGACGCGGGATAAAATGGTCGGAGCTCTGGACACCCTGTGCAAGTGAATAAAGTAGTCGGGGCAGAAGGCCACGGGGCGGGCGCCCACTGGGGCGCTGGGGACGCGGGGGGAGGGGGGGGAGGTTGTGTGCGTCGCGACGCAGAATATAATGCTCGGGGCGGAGGGTGCACTGGGCGGGGTTCGGGGCAGAGAGCCACGGGGCGGGGGTCCAACTCTGGCGCTGGGGACGGGGGGGAGGGGGGGGGGGGGGCGTGCGTCGCGACGCGGAATAACATGGTCGGGGCGAGGGCACTGGACAGAGTTCCCACTGGGGCGCTGGGGGCGCGGGGAGGGAGGTGGGGGAGGTGGTGTGCGTCGCGACGCGGAATAAAGCGTTCGTGGCGGAGGGGGCAGTGGGCGGGGCTCCCGCTGGGGCGCTGGGGACGCGGGGGGGCTCGGGGCAGAGAGCCACGGCGCGGGGGTCCCACTCTGGCGCTGGGGACGCGGGGGGGGGGAGGGGGTGTGTGCGACGCGGAATACATCGTTCGTGGCGGAGGGGGCAGCGGGCGGGGCTCCCGCAAGGGCGCTGGGAACGCGGGGGGTCTCGGGGCAGAGAGCCACTGCGCGGGAGTCCCACTCTGGCGTTGGGGACGCGGGGGGGGTGCGACGCGGAATGAAGCGTTCGTGGCGGAGGGGGCAGTGGGCGGGGCTCCCGCTGGGGCGCTGGGGACGCGGGGGGGCTCGGGGCAGAGAGCCACGGAGCGGGGGTCCCACTCTGGCACTTGAGGCGCGGGGGGAGGGGGGTGAGACGCGGAATAAAATGGTCGCAGCTCTAGACACCCTGCGCAAAAGAATAACTAACTGCCCCGCCCCCAAGCTGCCCGGCAATAACTGTCACAGGTAGCCCCCCGTCCATCGGCCACCCGGTCTGGACAAGCTATATGGTTTCGAAGTTGGCTGCGAGAAGAAGGGTGAGAAGCAGCGTAGAGGGACTGCGAAAGCGACCGAAAATTGCCAAGTCCCCAGCGCTTGTTGCTGCAAGCACCCAGGAATGCTCCAAGAAGGCGCCCTGGGCGGCCACGAGGAGGACCCGGAGCAGCCTAATGGTGGGATGCCCGAGAAACATTAAAAGAGCTTGGCAAAACCATGCTGGAAGTCTCTTTGGATGCCTTTTGGGAGCGCTTGTGGAAGGCTATCTGAAAAAGTAGTTTGGTCTCTTGGAAGGCATCTCGGAGGTCTCTTGTCATATTTGGAGCCTCTTTGAGGGCCTCTTGATGTTTCTGGGGGGGGGGGCCTCGGGCGCTCCTGGGGCCTCTTTGAAGCCTGTTGGAGCCCTGCTGTAGCGGTCTCGGGGGCCGTCTTCGGGGGGCGGGCTCGCTCTGTGAGTTCGGGTTACGCCTCTTGTGCCCCTCTTGCGGCTCTCCCGAAATACTCTTGGGCTGCGTTAGGGGCGTTATGTGCCGTTTGAGGCCCTGTCGGGGACCTCTTGGGCCGTCGTGAGAGGTTTTGGACGACTCTTGGGCTGTCTTAGAGAAGTGGAATCGCGAAAGGGCAAGAACACGAACATCGTTGAAACATCTATTGGGAATCAATATTTGTTGCCTCTTGGTGCCTTCGGTCCGTGCCGCCACCGTTATTGGGCTGTGGGTTAGGTCTCTTGGAATTTCGTTTGGATATCGTGCAAGGCCTCTCGGGGGCCTTTTGGAAGCATCTTTGAAGCCTCCAGGGGGGCGTTTTGGAGCCGCTTGGGGCTTTTTGGGCCTCCTGGGTGTCTCTTTTTCCCGGAAAGGGCGCGGGCCCAGGGTTCTCTTTTAGTTGGTAAACCTAATCCCCCGGTGCCAACTTGAAGGAGGCCGGCGGATTTTTTCCCTGATAAATATCGAGGTCGAAGGAGGCCGGCGGATTAAAATTTGAGGATGTCTCGAGCGAAACGCTTGTTTTTGAAATCCCGATCGATAAATCACAGGGTGCGGGCCACTTTTTCGTGTGTTGAGGATGTCTCGAGCGAAACGCTTGCTCCGCAGAGTTTGCCGAGGATGTCTCGAGCGAAACGCTTGTTTTGCAGAGCCGACCGCGACGCGGAAAAGCGCCCCGCGCGAAGGAATTTCGATGATGTCTCGACTAATTCCTTTGTTTTTGTACGATTTCCTGGAATTTTGGCAGGATGTCTCGAGCGAAATGCACGACCCCACCCTAGCACGACCATACCCCAGCACGACCACACCCCAGCACGACCAGACCCCAGCACGACCCCACCCCAGCACGACCCCACCCCAGCACGACCATACCCCAGCACGACCACACCCCAGCACGACCCGACCCCAGCACGACCCTACCCCAGCAAGACCACACCCCAGCACGACCACACCCCAGCACGACCTCACCACAGCACGACCACACCCCAGCACGACCACGCCCCAGCACGACCACGCCCCAGCACGACCACACGACCACCCCCAGCACGACCACCCCCCAGCACGACCACCCCCCAGCACGACCACCCCCAGCACGACCACACCCCAGCACGACCACACCCCAGCACGACCACACCCCAGCACGACCACACCCAGTCGCACCCCCGTGGAATGTTTCGTGGCGTGTCTGGTTGAGTGGTTGCCTGTTCGTGGGGTGTCTCGTGGAATGTTTCACGGGGTGTCTCGTGGAATGTTTCGTGAGGTGTCTCGTGGAATGTTTCGTGAGGTGTCTCGTGGGATGTTTCGCGGGGTGTCTCGTGGGATGTTTCGTGAGATGTCGCCCAGTTGGGTATCGTGAAAACGTGACCATGCTGCACATGTCTTTATCCCTTTCCGGGTTCGTGGGTCCATCATGTTGGGCCTCTTGGAGCCTCCTGGGGACCTCTTGGGGCAGAAGACTCGCATTGTCGGTTCACGTTTCCCACCTTGTGCACCTCTTGAGGCCGTCCTGAAGCCCTCTTGGGCCGTCTTAGGCACCTCTTGGGCCGTTTGGGGGCCCTCTTGGGCCGTCTCGGGGGCCTCTTGGGCCCTCTTGGGGCGAGGTTGGAGGCTTCTTGGGCAATCTTGGAGTGTCGAAACCCCGAAAAACACGAGAACGCGAAGAACATGTTGACCTCTTGGGGCCTCCTTGGGGGTCCTCTCGGAGCGCTCTTGGGGTCTCTTGGAGGCCTCTTGGGCCTTCATGGGGCCATCTTGGGCGGCTTGGTGCGCTCCTGGGCCGTCCTGGCGGCCTCTGGGCGTCCGCTGCGGGCGGCAAGAGGGTCCCTCGAGGCGCAGGGAACGCTCTGGAGCTTTCAGAAAGACCCGCGGGCGCTAAGGACTAAAAGGGTTGCGCGGGGGAGGGGGGAGTTTTGAAAAAGTGGGGGCCCCAGGGCCCAGGGACCCGGTCGCCAGTCATAGAATACATGTTATGACGACAGTTACAACAAATGCAGCATGGCGCTACCATGGCCACATGAGAGGCACGAACGCGGACGCGACGAAATTATGAGATAAAGAGAGGAGCATTTCAAGGACCTTGTCTTTTCCCTGGTAGCTTATGTACTTGACGGTGGTGTTGGAGTTGAGCAGGAAGCCGATGCGGAGGGCTTCCGCATCTCCAGGCCCCATGTTGCCCCCGGTGCCACAGTACGCTGCATCTTTGTCCTCGGTAATGCCTCCAGGATGGCTAGACGAGAACGGAGGAGAGAAAGGCGATGGCGAAACGACGACTGAGGACCAGGGCAAGGACGAGAGGGACGAGGCGTCGGGAGCGGAGGCGGGCGGAGAGGGCGGCGGAGGCAGCGGAGCGGGAAGGGCAGCAGCGGCTACCGCAGGATCCTCTGAAGCAGGGCAGGCGCCTGCATCCAGAAAATACGGTGGCCGACAAAGGGAAAAAATAACTCTGTATGGTAGGCTCGCGCGGCATCGGTGCGCGCGACGGTTTTTGGCACCGCGTCGATCGTTCAACCCTGAATCGATCGCGGCCCCGATCGTTCAAGATTGAATTCCGTCGGGTCTTATGGCGTTACCGTGTCCCTCGGTGCATCGCGTCGTTCTATCAAGCGCGAGCGCGCGCAAGGGCGCAGATTTCAGCTTTGAAAGCCTTCGCAGGCGTTGCTGGCGCGCCAACGCCACATGAACCTACAGTATGCTCTGCACCTGTAGTCATCAAGGTACAGATTGCACATTCCCCCACCCCCCCCACACAGCCCTTGCCGCGCCGCCAGTATTCCGCACGAGAGCAACATGCTGTTCTGTGGTAATCTGGCGGTGCGGAAAGAGGGGGTATGGCGAGGAGGCCCTCTGGGAAGGCAGCAGCTACGCAGAGGGGACCGGAGCCTTTTGGCAAGGTTTACTCAAGGCAGCCCCCGCTCGCCCTGCCCCCTTCTGCGGGCCGCCGACGCGAATGCGCACGGCGGTCGGGCGATCTGAAGAACGCGAAGAACGACCCGGGCGTTCCTCCACAGGGATGGTCCAGACCGACGGCGAAGGGACGCTGGACGCAGACGAGGATGCGGGTGCGCCTCGAGACGCGCTGGCGCACGAGATGCCCCGAAAACTCCAAGAGCCAGATCAGGGAAGCGTGAGATCCGCGGGCCGCACCAGGGCTGACGGCACGTAGGGTCCCGCACGGGGGCGTTTCGGTTGCAGGCGACGTTGGCGCATGCTGTGGAGCACCGCGCGCGAGAGCGCCCCGTGGACGAGGCTAGGTGGCGCTGAGTTCGGCATGTTTTCCTGGCCCTCGGGCTGCTGCACGCCCAACCGGTCACCAGCAGCCCCGAGGCGCCCCTACCCGTTGAGGTCAGTGGAGCAATATGTCTGTCCTTACAACATACTTCTATATATGTCTCTATATGTGTAAATATGTACATGCACTTACCTATATTACACTTCTCCTTCTCCTCACTTCCCCTTCTCCTTCTACAAATACACAATATGAAAATACTCTCCCACTTCCCCTGATGGCGTCCCGAAGATATCCGACACTCCCCCGCGTATTGTTTTTATACACACAGGATTCCCGGGAAACGGGTTTTCCCTTGTGTTTTTTCAAAATGCTGCTCTCGCCGAGGCGCCGGCCTCATTTTCGGGCCCCGCTCGTTCCGAATCGTGCTCCCGCTGCAGCGCTGGCCTCATTTCCGCGCTTCCGCCCGTTTCGACTCGTGCTCCCGCTGCAGCGCTGGCGTCATTTCCCGTGCCATGCCACAGCACACGCGCACACACGCACACACACACACCACCACCACCACCACCACCACCACCACCACCACCACCACCAGCACCACCAGCACCACCAGCACCACCACCACCACCACCACCACCAGCACCAGCACCAGCACCACCACCACCACCACCACCACAACCACGCACACACGTACGCACGCACGCACGCGCACCACCACCCACTAGTCCGCGGATAAAGAAAATCAGCGCCATGGTAAGGGATGGGAGGGAGGGGTAGGACGTCAGATATGACGCGCGCGCACCTAGCTTGCCTCATCCCCCTCCCCCTCCTCCAGCCCCTCCCGTCCGCCCTCCCAAGATGTTCCCCCAGAGGCCCACAGCGGCACCTGACCCCGCCTGAAGGCGCCCTTCGCCGCGCTGAAGCATCCTCTGGTCGCAGGAGAGTCATGAAACCCTGCAGAAGACAAGAACGAGGAACCGGCCCAACAGGCCAAAGGCGTGTTAAAATCTCTGGTCACAGCTTTAAAATTATCTCTAGTTCGCGTGCGCGTGGCTGTCCATGGGGGTCCCCGGACGAATCAAGGCCCCATGCCAATCCCGGGCGGTCCCCAGGCGGTCCCCGTCACGGATACCTTCTGGGGGCTGCCTGAGGGCCTTCAACTTCAAGAGCGTCTCAAGAGGCACCCAAGGCGGTCTAAGAGAGCCCAGAGTCACCTGAAGTCGTTCCAAGATGCCCATGATAGCCCCCAGACGGCTTCAACCAACTCCAAAACGACCGAAAATGCCTCCAAGACCACCCCCAAGAAGCCCCCGACAGGCAACATTCAACGATTTCCCAACCGTTTTTGAAGGTTTTCTGCGTTCTCACCTTTTCGGCAGCCGACGCTCTAAGACGGCCCAAGAAGCCCCGAGATCGTTCCAAGACGGCCCATTAAGCCTCCAAGAGAGCCCGAAAAAGGCATACGGGGATTCCGAAACGGTCCAAATCCCACCAGCCCTTTAGGGCGTATGTGATCTAGGGTGTGTTGTCTTCCATCTGCCCCTCCTCCCCTTCGGGGAGGGGTTCATCATTACTCCTTATTGATATACAACCTTTCCCCCAGGCGACCGGGAACCAACCAGACCCCATGCCGACACGATGCCCACCCGCCCCCAACGACCCTTGTCAAACAAAAAATAAAACTCATATTTGGAGCATGCGCGGCCAACCCGATGCGGCCCCCCCCCACCATCCCTCTCAAAAATCCATGCACAGTACACCTTGGGGTAAAGTCTTTACCCATGTTCGTGAGGCCCGCGAGCACTTTGTATTGCTTTTGACAGGGACGGCGGGGGTGTCAGCATATTCCCTGCTGCGCGCAGGGCTACCATCCCTGAAAAAATACAAAATGCACCTCGCGGCCAAATCTGGATCATGCGCGGCCATCCCGCGATCACTGTCAAGTGGTTTTTGACAGGGACGGCGAGGGTGGTGGCGCGTGGCCTACTGTGCGCAGGCCCACCGGACACAATGATCGGCACCGGTTTTCGACAAGGGTGGTGGGGGCCGACATTTTTCCCGATGTGTGCTGTCACGTGCGCAGGTGCACCTGACGCACTCTACACGTGCCCCGAACGCGACGCACCTGGCGCGGCTGCGGCCCCAAGAGGCCCCCAAGAGACGCTCCAAGAGGCCTCCAAGACGCAAGAGACGCCCAAAGTCCCAAGACGGCCCCAAGAGCGCCCAAGAGTGTCCCAAGAGCGGTCCAAGAGGGACTTTTCGTCTGCGTGCTGCCCACACCCCTGATAGAGGCACGTCCTCTGGGCATCGTCTCTGGATGGGCTGGTGGGGTTACGGCCGCAGGCGAGCGCGCCAGCGGCGAGTCCAGTCAAAGCGGGGCACGCAGCGACAAATTCACCTAAAGCAACGGGGCGCAGCCTCACCTAAAGTGGCTAGGCGGAGCCTCACGCAGCACCTCAGCGGCGGACCGGCGAGTGGAGGAGGCTGGCTGAAACTGAGTAGAACGGCCAGCGTGCAAGTATGCAAGGCGTCGGAAGCGTCAGGTAGCCGGGAAGGCTGGTGGGGTTACGCGAAGCGTCTAGAGTGCGCTGGAGAGCCGCAAGACACCTTCAGGAAGACCTCTCGAGGGGGAGCCCCAACGGACATTTCGATCGTTCGGCCTCAAGAGGTGTCCAGGCTGCCCGAAGCGGCCCGAAGCGGCCCGAAACTGCTACACAGGAGCCCCCGAGAACCCTCCGAGGACACCAAGAAGCATCCATGAGGGCTCTCACCGAAAACCGCAGCAGCGCTGACCAGCAGCGCCGGATGGCCCACGCTCACGCACGCCAACGCCAACGATGGCAAAATACAGGCCGGCGGAATGAGCGAAGCGAAGAAATAATCAATGGAGGGAGAGCAGCAACGAAGAGCAGGAGGTGAGGGGAGAAGAGGAAGAAAGGCATGGGTCTGGAGGAGAGGACGCAAGAGAACGGTGGATGAGAGGAAAGAGGAGGAGGAGGAGGAAGAAACAGAGTGGGTCGGGAAAGGGAAGGAGGAAGCGGAAGAAAAGGAGGCGGGGGAGGAATCACCAGGAGGCGGTAGGAGAGGAGAGGGTGGGTCGGGAGGAGGAGCGGGCGTCTGCGCTGTGGGCGACGGCGCCTTTCGTGGCGATGAAGTAGGTCTGGTCAACGATGTCCGGCTCCTTTTCCTGCTACCAGGGCGGGAGGCACTGGGCGCGGCCCACCCGACCCCTCCTTCAGCGTCCAACTCATCCTCCTCCTTGTCGTCCTCTTCCTCCTCCTCCTCCTCCTCCTCCTCCTCCTCCTCCTCCTCCTCCTCCTCCTCCTTAGCCTCCCTCTCTCCTAGTCCTCCCTCCCTCTTTCTCCTCTTTCTCCTCCTCAGTCTCCTCCTCTCCTGCTCCTCCCTTCCTCTGTCTCCTCGATATCCTCCTCAGTCTCCTCCTCTCCTACTCCTCCTTTCCTGTTTCTCCTCTTTCTCCTCCTCCTCCTCCCAACTCCTCCTCCTCCAACCCTCATCATCACCATCATCATCATCATCATCGTCATCATCATCATCATCATCATCATCAGCAGCAGCAGCATCATCATCATCCTCATCATCATCCTCATCTTCATCTTCATCATCATCCTCATCCTCATCCTCATCCCCCCCCCTCAGCATCATCGTCAGCACCATCAGCATCATCAGCATCATCAGCATCATCAGCATCAGCATCATCAGCATCAGCATCAGCATCAGCATCATCATTATCATCATCAGCATCATCATCATCATGTTCATCATCATCATCAGCATCATCATCAGCATCGTCATCACGGCATCATCATCAGCATCATCATCATCAGCATCAGCATCATCACCAGCATCAACATCAACATCAGAATCATCAACATCATCATCACCACCATTGCCATTACAATCACCATCATCCCTCCCTCCATCCATCCCTTCCTCTTCCGCTTGCTCCTGCCCGTCCCTTACTCCTTTTACACCTCCTCCTCCTCCTCCTGCTCCTCCTACACCTCCTCCTCCTCCGCCTCCTCCTCCTACTCCTCCTTCACCTCGTCCTCCTCCTCCTCCTCCATCTCCCTCCCCATCAACCCCACAATCAACAACCCCATTGCCTCCCTCTCCAGATCTTGCTCCACCTCTCCAGACTGCTCTTGGCCATCCCCCGCCTCCTCCTCCTCTCCTCCTCCTCCTCCTCCTCCTCCTCCTCCTCCTCCCCATCATCATCATCATCATCATCATCATCATCAGCATCATCATCATCATCATCATCATCATCATCATCATCATCATCATCATCATCATCATCATCATCATCATCATCATCATCATCATCATCATCATCATCATCATCATCATCATCATCATCATCATCATCATCATCATCATCATCATCATCATCATCATCATCATCATCATCATCATCATCATCATCATCATCATCATCATCATCATCATCATCATCATCATCATCATCATCATCATCATCATCATCATCATCATCATCATCATCATCATCATCATCATCATCATCATCATCATCATCATCATCATCATCATCATCATCATCATCATCATCATCATCATCATCATCATCATCATCATCATCATCATCATCATCATCATCATCATCATCATCATCATCATCATCATCATCATCATCATCATCATCATCATCATCATCATCATCATCATCAGCATCAGCATCAGCATCAGCATCAGCATCAGCATCATCATCAGCAGCAGCATCATCATCAGCATCAGCATCATCAGCATCCAAATCAGTATCATCATCAACACCACCACCATCATCATCATCATCATCACCATCAGCAGCATCATCATCAGCATAGCATCATCAGCATCAGCATCACCCCTCATCCTCGTTGTCCCACGTTTGCATTAAGCTCATCCGCCTCCTCAGCGGCCTCCTCATCCTCTGGGTGTCGCTCCCCAGCCTGCATCTGCTGTCCTCTGTCTACACGACCCCTGCTCCTGCTCCTCCTCCTCATCCTCCTGCTCCTCCTGATCAGTATCAGCATCAGCATCAGCATCATCATCATCATCATCATCATCATCATCATCATTATCATCATCATCATCAGCATCATCATCATCCGCATCATTATCATCAGCATCAGCATGGTGCATCAGCATCAGCATCAGCATCATCATGATGATCAGCATCAGCAGCAGCATCAGCATCATCAGCATCAGCATCAGCATCGTCGTCATCATCATCAGCAACAGCATCAGCATCATCATAATCATCAGCATCATGAGTATTGCCAGAACCCGAAGCAGCAATAGCAGCATCATCACGGCAACCACCATCATGACCAGCAGACTCACCTTCAACATCAGTATCATCATTGCCATCATCATCCGCAGCATCATCAGCCTCATCAGCAACATAAGCATCATCATCGCCATCATCATCAGCTTAATCACCACTATCAGCATCATCATCAGCATCATCAGCATAATCAGCATCCTCAGTATCGCCATCGCCATCGTCATCATCATCGTCGTCGTCATCACCATCATCACCCATCATCGTCAAACGCAGCTTCAACATCATCATCGGCAGCAACAACGGCAGTACCACCACCACCACCGCCATCATCACCATCATCATCATCAATAACATCAGCATCAGCAGCAGCATCATCTGTACCATCGTCATCCTCCTCATCCTCATCCTCATCATCATCATCCTCATCCTCATCATCATCATCATCATCAGCATCATCATCATCATCATCATCATCATCATCATCATCATCATCATCATCATCATCATCATCATCATCATCATCGTCATCGTCATCCTCATCATCGTCATCGTTGACGTTGTCAGTATCAGCGCCTTCATAAGCAGCAGCAACAACATTACCACCACCGCCAATATCCTCAGGTTTACCATCATCATCGGCATCATCGTCACTATCAGCTTTGCCATTAGCATTTGCACCTTCATAGCCACTGTCATCCTCATCAGCATCATGACTATGACCATCGGACACATTAACCTCATCGTAATCTGCATCAGCGTCCGCATCACCACCACCAGCATCATCATCAGCAGCAGCAGCACCATTGTCATCAACAGCATATTCTGCATATGTATCATCATCAACAGCATCAGCATCATCAGCATCAACATCATGTTGTCGCTCTCCTTCTATTCGGACAAGTGTCACTCCCTCCATCTCTCCTCCTACCCTTACGCGCCATCCGTCCATCCGTGCATCAACATTCTCTCATCGTTCCGGAATATTTCATTCCCCTTCTCCTACTCACTCATCTTCCCCCTTCTCGAAAACCATGTTCGTCCAAAACGGTCCCTATCCCCCTCGACCTCCCAATCACAACACATTCCCCCATCTCATGCTCATCTTATTACCTGCTCCCTCGTCGATGTTCCGTCATCCCTCCCCTCTGCTTATGTGTATGTGGCCGGAGAGTGCGCGTGCTGTCCACGCTAATGGCAGGGGAGGAATCGCCAGAGCGACATCGAGCACTTGGACGTGTCGCTATCACCGCCCTGCGTATGGCCCAGTCACGTCAAGCATGTCAGAGGTAGGTACAGGTGCGCAGGTCTGGGGAAGCTGAAGGGGGGCACACGACAACGCATTATTTGAGAAAGTGCATACCCGCCTGAAATGCTCAACTCGAGTCCAGTGATCCGAGTTCACCCTGCGCGCGAGGAGGGCGTGAGCGGCCGCCTGCTCTTAGCGGTGCCCACAGCCCTTAGGCGTAGCCTCTCCTCTTGACCTCCCCCTGGTCCTTATCGTCTGGGTCCACTGGGTTCGCGTTCCCCACAATCTCCGTGTTGGCCGGGACCACCACCTGAGGCTGGCTCGTATGCAGCAGCGCTCGTGGCGAGCTGCACAGGCAGCAGCAGCAGCAGCTGGGACCTCGACGGGATGAGGTGGGAATGAAGGGGTAGCGGCTCGTCCACGGGAGCCTTCCTCTAATGTGGTTGCAGGACAAAGCCCAACACAATGATAGCCCCCCGCCTCCTTGCCTGCTCTTCCCTGTTTTCCCTTCTTTGCTGAACGCACACAGCTACACAGCAAAACTGGCACAGTGGGCTCATGTCGCTCACTCGTCTCCTTCCCTCTTCATCCATGGTCTGTTCGACGCTGTTACGGCTCTGGGCCAGTACTACTGCTCAATACCCCCTTGCGGTACCGCTGAGACCTTGGTCACACCCGCTTGTTTCGCTCGGACGAACGAACACGCCAAGCACAACTAAGGAGAAGAGGTTGCTCGTGCTCCATATCATCGTCATCCACGCGCAAACAGCTCAAGGATGCTTCGTCGCCCTGCTCCAGAGATGCTACCGAGCGTGCCAGCGATGTTCCTGCGCCGAGCGGCAGGCCAGAGGAGGGACCCAAGGGGCGGCCTGCTCGTCGATGTCGAACATGCCCGCGGGGAACTTGAGCTTGCGGCCCCCGGCCGAGGTCTTCTCGCAAGTGATCACGCCCCTGGCCGCCCACGAGCGAGCGAGCGCGAGCCATAGGTGCCGTACACCAGACGGCGCGTGAGCGGGGGAACAACAATGGGCGATCGCAGGTTGCCTTCAGCAGCCGCTCTGAATCGCTCAGCCGCCCACGGCAGCTCGCTAATCCGTCTGCCAATCATAGGAAGAAGAATAGCCACCCAGGGCCCCAAGAGGGGCTCACAGCGGGAATACGAATCGACATTTCGCGCCTTCCCCCCCAAGATGGCTTCAGGACCCCAGCGGCCCCCGAGGCGCCCCCGAAAGGCCCCGAATGCCTCCACGAGGCCGCCAAGGTGCCCTGAAGAAGTCCCCAAAAGAATCCCAGATGCCCCCAAGAGCCCTCCAAGAGGCCCAACCTGGAAGGCCGGCGGAATTGCGCAAGCCACTTGAATAGAGAGAGGAACAATCAGACTCTCAACAAGCACCTTGCAAGCGAAGCCCTTCAGTAATCACACCTACGGAACAGATCGAACAGAGCAGAGCTGTTCAGTAAGTTCCCAGAGCTGCTTAGTAGTCGCCAACTGTGTGGGTCGGGGCAGGTTCCGGCCAGCCGGAGGCTGGGGTCGAGAGCCTCTGCGAGTGACCTGGTGATCTTCTCAAGGCGTGGATCATCTTGGGGTCCCTTCTGCAGCTTCCAGGGTCGGCAGCATCTCGGAGCAGAAGGCGGCGCGTCTCGGGTGAAGGGCTGCGTGCTCAGCCCCCAACGGAAGGACCTGGGAACGAAGGAACCGCGAGCCCCTCCCGAACCCGAGCTGCTCCTTACTTGCTTCGGCGTGCGGACTGCACAGTTCCGAGCGGCCTCCTGAGGCTGCAGTCAGGATCCAGATGAGGAAGAGCGAGTCCCATGCACGTCGCCCCCACACGGACGAGAAATGAGGATGCTGCCGTCAGTCGTGGAGGCTCCCTCGGGACGCTGGCCAGACTCGCACGCTGCTCCCATGGGAAAAAGGGCAACAGTTGCTAGTGATTCCCTGGGCTCGAGGTTGATCTTCGGCACGGACCCTGCAACCCAGAGGGGTCAGATAATTAGACGACGCTATCGGACAGGACACATTGAGCTCGTGTGGAAATAACATATCATAAACAATACGTAGGTCTGGTTGGGATCTCCAGTGCCGGATGACACTTCCGAGACCAAGAGATATAGCGGCACAGAGGGGATCATTCGGTATGTAAAGGACCAACCTTCCTCCGTGGCTGAAATAAATCCGCCGGCCCCCTTGTGGGGCCACCAGGCTGTAGGCCGAACGTTCGCAGCTTCCTGTACCAGTTGCAGCTTCCAGCTTCCACTGTTACAGTTCTGTTTCTTGCTGCTTACTGTTCCTTGTTGACTTCTTGCTGCTTACTATTCCTTGTTGATGGACCGCGCGAGGGGGGGGAGGCCCAAAACGGGCATTGTTAGCACGCCCTGAGCGTGTTATCTAAATTGTGGGTGGGAAAAAATTGACACCCATCACGCAGATCGGCGGGGTCAGGGTCCAAAAACACAAGGGATTTGCTACAGTTTTAAAATCCGGCAGCACCCCTCACGCAGATCCGTAGGGTCAGGGTCCAAAAACTCGAGGGATTTGCTACATTTCTAAAATCCGGCGGCACCCCTCACGCAGATCCGTAGGGTCAGGATCCAAAAACATATGGGATTTGCCACATTTCTAAAAATTTGCTGGCACCTCTCACGCAGATCGGCGGGGTCAGGGTCCAAAAACACATTGGTGTTGCCACATTTCTGAAATTCGGTGGCACCCCTCAAGCAGATCGGCGGGGTCAGGGAGCAAAAACACATATGATTTGCAACATTTTTGAAATTCGCTAACACCCCTCACGCAGATCGGCGGGGTCAGGGTGCAAAAACAAATTGGTTTTGCCACATTTCTGAAATTCGGTGGCACCCCTCACGCAGATCGGCGGGGTCAGGGAGCAAAAACTCAAGTGATTTGCCACATTTCCAAAATTCGGCGGCACCCCTCACGCAGATCGGCAGGGCCAGGGTCCAAAAACGCAAGGGATTTGCCATATTTCTGAAATCCAGCAGCACCCCTCACGCAGATCCGTAGTGTCAGGGTCCAAAAACACATGGGATTTGCTACATTTCTAAAATTCGGTGACACCCGTGACGCAGATCCGTAGGGTCCCGACACTGCTGCACGGCGGCGCCCAGACCTCATGATTTAGTTTTTGCATCTCCCATTATCCGAGACAGGGACCAGCGGCATGGGGCGAAACCCTTACGGATAACAGCGCAACATGCGCTTGAGCTGGACTGCGAGAATACCCGATTGGCATAGTCAGTGCTAAGGACTCACTAGCAGCTTCCGATCATGATATCAGCATCGCACTTACGCTTGCACTCTAGACGACAGAAGCTAGAGACTGGGGGTAGAGAAGAGTCCCGAGCCCCACCCAGCGGCATCGCTAGTCTTCGGCGTCAGAGGCGTCTGGGAGCCACTTTTCAGCACAAAAGACAGTGTTCACCGATTCGTGTCGTAACACATCCAAACAGAACTGTCATAAAGGGACCCTTGCGATCGGTGCTGAGAGGCTCATCATCTCAGGTATCGCCTGACCTTGGATCCACTGCAAACCTGGGACCACGCAGCGCAAAGCGCCTGACAGCCACTGACCATCTGTGAACAACTAGCCGCGACCTCCCTCAAGAGTCGGTAACAAGTGAGCCAAACCGGCAAGATATCGAAACCGATAGGGCCAAGTGGGAGGAAAGACAGCTGAAGGGTGAGGCGGAGGAGAATGCGGAGGAAGACGACGAGCCGCAGAAATGGCAGGCAACGAGGAAGGAGTCGAGCGGAGCGAACCACCTGTGCGAGAAGGGTATCCTACCAAGGTGGGCGTGGTTTATGCTCAACATAAGCTTTCGATCAGCCTTGCAGCACACTTCGCGCGCGCCAGCGGAGCTACGGCACTGAAGCCCCACAACCTGCGAACGGACATCCCGGGGTGGGCCCAGAACGAGACCGTCCCAAAAATGAGGGGACAACGAGGAGTGGGAGGAGGAGCGCGGCAGTGTGATGAAGTGAATGTAGCTTCTCAGCCTTGTGCAGCTCTGACGCGCAGCCCTCCCAAGCTCAAGATTTACGACGCAAACCACGCCTCTGAAAGCGTCCCAGCTTTGGGCCCAATGCGCTGGCACTCGCGCCCGCGCGCTGCCCCCCCTACTGGCAGGCCTCCTGCCTTCCGGGGGTTGCTAGAGGTGCCCTTGGCCCAAGGTGCCCCCAGCTTTTCGCTCAGTCTTGGAGCCCCTGGAGCCCTCTGGGCCTCGCGAGGGGGGTTCTGGAGGCCGTGGGGGCCTTCTTGGAACTCCTGGGGGCACCTTGGTCTGGCAACACCCGAGCCAGTTTCGCCAAAAAGACCAACAAACACAGAAAGCGCAGATCCTCGTCGGGGCAGCTGCCTCCGGTGACGAGCTCCTTCCACGAGGTGCCGTACTTCACGGGCACCTTCAGGGCCGCCGCCTCGCGTTCGCAGCACGGGGCACCCCGCCGACGAGAGCGGGCCCCTCGGAGGCATCAGATCGTCCAGCACCGCATCGGGCTTTCGGATCGGACCAGAGTGTGCACCGACTCGGGCCGCATCGGCACGGAGTCGGGATCAAATCGCACCAGCCGCGCCAGAAAGCACAACAGCGTCATGCAAGCGGCGAGCCACATCGGACCGCCAGAAAATCGTAATCGAATCGGATTGGGCCAGCCAGAATCGATAGATCAAATCAAATCAATCAGTAGACATTTATGTTACCTTGGGGGGCGGTTGGGGGAGGGGGGTACCGGTAACGGAGGCCGCGGCGCGAACCCACCGAGGCGCGCAGCCTACGTCGTCGTCGTCGGCGGCGTCGTCGTCCAACCTGACAATGTTTGTGCACAAAACGCGGGTTCTGTAAACCACAATGCTTTCCTGAACCGGAACTGCTGCAGAAATTGCATGTGCGCGCCACGGCGACAAAATACACCATAACAACCGTAAACACAACAGCGCCTTTGTACATCATACAGTTTGTGCACACCACGGCGCCCGTGTGCACCACAGCTGCTGCTTCAGCGCACCCTCGCACCTGTGCCTGCGTACACCATAAAGCTTGTGTGCACCTGAAAATACCGACGAAGCCAAACTCTGCAAAATAGTCGGGGGGCCGAACGCATCAAATTCAGTATGCGAGTTCATTGTGATGATTTGTTCTTCTGGCCCAAGGAACGCTCGGATTGTTTGGGCCCGCGACGCCTGTGTACCCCATAGCGACTGCGCACGTCATGGCAACTTTGCGCATCACGGCGCCCATGAACACCTCGCAGCTTGGGGGCACGCGGAGCAGCGTCAGCCGAGGGAATACACGCAGGAGAAGCAGGAGGAATAGCATCACCAGCAGGAGGAGCAGGATTTGTAAAAGGAACCCCGCGATGGGGTCGACAGCTCGGAACCCCCGCTTTTTTCCAAGAGCACTGCCATGATGGACACCATCATCTTACAGCATGTACACCTACCTACCTCTACGGACCCGACGGAGCCAAAGTCCGGGAAATCGCTGGGGGCCCGAATGTATCAGCTTCAATATGTGATCTGATTGTGAATATTAGTTTTCTGGACCGAGAAACGCTCAGACATTTTGAGCCCAGCGCGAACGTGAAACACAACGCTTGTGTGCACCACAATGCTTGTGCGCACTACAATGCGTGTGTACACCGGAATGCCTGCGTCCTGTATGCGCAAGGAGGGCGACGACGAGGAGGACGAAAATGATGAGGGAGGAGGAGGAATAACTAGGAAGTGACGCGTGGGTAGATCAAAGCCCACAACGAACGCATATATCACAGCGACTTTGCGCGCTACAGCGATTGTGTACAGCACTGCGCCTGTGCACACCGTGTACACCACAATGCTTGCGTACACCCACTGTGCTTGTGTACACCACAGCTGCAGCTGCTGCTGCAACGATAGTTGTGTGCGCCACAACGCAGGTGTACACCGCAGTGCCTGCGTACACCATAATGACTGGTGCACGCTCGCGTGCAAAGAGGCACCAATAGTGCCCGCATGCGCCACAGGCCCTTGGCTGCCTGGGATCGCGTACTGGACCGGGCCGGGGCGTTGCTGTTACGGGGGGGGGGGCAGGAAAGGGGCAACATGCGTTACAAGATCCCTTGGGTGGGTAAAATTGTCTCCTAATCGCACCGAACCCTACGGAGCTCCTGGGAGGCCATCGACGGCCTTCGGCAGTTTGTCGTCGTCGTGATCGCCATCGCCATCGCCGTCGTCGTCGGGAGTTTGGCTCGTTCGGGGACGGCGAGGGCGAGGAGAAGAAGGCGCACTTGGGCGGAAGACTGCCGCCCGAACCCCCTCCAGCACGGCGCCGCTGGCTCGCCGCAAGCACGCACGCACCCAACCGTCGCTAAGACGAAGCCAGGACAGGGACAAAATCGGACAGGGACAAGGAGCGCTCGTGAACGCTCTGAAAGCGTTCCCGAACGCTCTGGAACGATTTATCCGCGTCATATCCCCGCCCCATTCGTCCTGACCGCTAGTTTAGAAATACCCCAAGACAGGACAGCACACTCAAGAGAAGGGCAGAGGGCGCAGAGGGGAAAGACTAGAGGAATAAAGAACTGCATGAGCATAAACTGTAGGAGCTCCGCGCGGATTTCTTGGATCGGCGCTGGACCTCCTCTCCCTGGCGCTCGGAGAGCGCCAATGGCGGCGCCGGAGGCGCCGCCAGGAGGGCCCAAAGCCGATCCAAGAAATCCAAGCGAAACTTCGAAAGTTTACGGTTACGCCGTGTTCGTTTCAGAAGAGTGGACACCACACTCAAGAAGGGCATGGAACCCCAGAGGGGAGAGAGGAGAGGCGGGCGACGAGACGGCGCTGAGTGAGACAAAGCGCACGGGAGGTCGCAAAACGGTCCCCCCACCGCCTAGAACCTCTGCCAAGCCTCGCCCCCCCCCCCCCTCCTCGGGCGACCTCCGCGGCAGCCGTCCCCATCACCCATCCCTGATGTGGAAAGGGGGGGGGAGGGGCGACATCGGTTCTCCTGAATCGATGGGAGGCGGAGATAAGTTTCGGATTCCGCAAACGTGCTCGACGAGTTCCGAACCCTACCCCCGCCGCCCATCGAATTGCTTGACTCGGTCGTTGATCGGCGAGGGTAGGGTTCGGATTTCGCCTCCGAAGGAGGGGCGGGGGGGGAAGGGCGGGAGAAGAGGAGGCAAAACTAGAGAAACAAAAAAGGCATATACACAATTTCTCTCTGAGGTCCGCGCGGGTCTCTTGGATCGGCGCTGGACCCCCCTCCCTGCGCGCAGGGGTCCAGCGCCGATTCAAAAAATCCGCGCGGACCTCCGAGCTTACGCCGCTGTTTTTCTCAAAGGAGGAGCGAGAAAGGGAGGGGCGGGAGAAAAACAGGCGGGAGGACCCATCCACCAAGAGCGTGTGTTTTGAGCTGTCCTGTCCAAGGCGTTCCTTTTCCTGTGCAAGCTCTTCGGCACCGCCTGCACCCCGGCCCGCCCTCCGGCCGCCTGAGGCCCCGCCCGCCTGTGCCCTGTCTCCTCAATTAGAGCTGTGCGTAGCCCGCCTAGCTTTTACAGGAAGAGGTTCGCTCTCGCCCCGCAGACCAAAAAGTGTTTTGAGCTATTCGCGATAATGCTCGTGACAGGCACTGTTCACCCCCACCCACCCACCCCCGTGGTCACGTCACGATTCGCGCCAACGCCGTATGAGAATGAGCCAGTCCTAAGCATTCCCAGACGGCGCCAGCGCGAATTGTGACGTGACCGGCCCCGTTCCCCCGCTCCTCCCCCTACCCTCTCAACGCCAGGGAATACAAAACACTCTCAACAGCCACAAGCGTCGGCAGCCCCGCCCCCGCCAAGTGTGGCCTTGGCGCCGGCCTCGGAGGAGTTCGCGCCGACGCCCTTGAAGCCGCTGGCCCCCCGTGGGCCGCCGCGCGAGCTGTGAAGCGGCCGGGGGGCGCTGGGGTTCGGAGAGCCATGAGGGACCCCCTGGGGCGCATCGTCAGGCATTACCGAAGCCCAGAGAGGACATCCAGGGCTCGGGGGAATCAGGCGGAGGAGGAGGCAGGGAGCAGAGGGGATCATGATCATACTGGCAGTTGCCAGAATAATGCTGATGATCGATGGCAAAACCTCCAGGAAGGAGGAGGAGGAAGAGGAGGACGACGACGACGAAAAAGAAAAAGGAGAAGAAGAAGACTCGGCCTTGCTGATTGTTTTTTTTCGTGCTGTGTTTGCTAGAGCTACCTAAGCTGGAAAACCATTCAACCCCTCGAGCGATCGTCGAGTCTGGTCGGCAAGGTCGATAGTCGCACGCACCGTGCAGCATGAAATAACTCCGCACCGTTGCAGAACTCTGACTATTTCCCGCGGGCAGGGGGCGCTGCCCCTCTTGCCCCTATGAGGCCGAGTCCCGCGTCGCGTTGAGCGACGGACGGGCCTCCGAGGCACCCGCCCAGCCCCGACGAATTTCAAGGACCACTTTTGGGTCACCAAGGGGGCCCACCGACCCAACGGGCGGACGGAAAAAGCGGACCGGGCGCCAACCGCTGGACGCTGTTCGAAGGGCCACCACGGCACCCTTTGGACAGTCCCTGGCCGCGGCGTTGGGCCAACCTCCTTCACCAGGCCGCCCGCGGGGGGGGAACAAAGTAGAAGGGTCTCGACTGCACAAAGGGCGGGAGGGAGGGCGGGCGCGGCCTCGCGGTGGGCCGAGGTCGGCACGGGCCGACGGCGCAGAAGGGGCCTAGACAAAGCCCTCAACTCAAGGTTCCTCAGCAGCAGCACCCAGGACGGGTGCGAATGCACGATGCTCCACTTCCCAAACCGAGCATTCCCCCCAGAGGCGTCAATAAACTCTGCAGAGGGTAGTTCATTGCCTCCTCGAAGTTCTTTCTGGGCTGACTTCGGGCCTGCCGACCGCGGCGCATCAGGCAGCCAGAACAGGCGACCAGCGAGCGCCCGACAACAAACATGCGAAAAGAGAAAGAGCGCCAACCTTTTCGCATCAATTAATGAGAATGTCCAGCCCGACAACATATATATAGAGAGAGAGAGAGAGAGAAACAAAAAAGAGAGAGAGAGGGAGAGACAGAGATCCCTCTGCCGGCTGTGAGGGCGCGGAGAAATGAGCGGCAACTCAACCAGCATAGCAGGTCAAAACGACAATAGTAGTAAAAAACGCCACGCCTTCCAACATCAAGAGATATGTCATACATTGAACTGCCGTTGCCTCCTCCCGAGCAGCGCGGTAGTGGAGAGCCCGCAACCGCTCCTCCCACGCAGTTGTCACTTGGCGTCCCTGCCCTTGCCCTTGCCCGCGGCCCTGCCCATGTCCGGCAGCTTCTGGGCGACGTTCTCCAGGTGTCCGTGAGGTGTCGCGCCTAGCTTCAGCTGGTGGCACATCGCCCCCAGCGAGTAGCTCGTGGCCCGCTCAAGCCCCGGGCTCGACTGCGGGCGTCCGCGCGCGAGCCCACATCCAGCGCGATCTGGTCCGCGATCGCGAAAGGCACCCATGAGAATCAGTCGTCGCAGCACTTCCTGAAGCGGAAATGCCAAAAGAGTAACCCGAACTCCGGCATCGGGGTGTTCTTGTTCGAGACGAACTGAATGTATTGACGACATATCATCGCGCGACTCGCCGCCGAAGCTCTTCTGACCACCCCCGACTCGCTCAGGCACTTGTGCGCGGCGCGCGCGACGAACAAATGCGGCGGCCCCAGGCGAAGCATGGTCGCGGCGACCTTGGCGCGCATAGCGCGAACTCCTCCGATTTCGAGCACGCGAACTCCAGGGCCTCCGAAAGCTGCCTTGCCCAGGGGCTGGCCGAAGGACACAGGGCGCAGTCCTCGCTCACCAGTCGATGGCCCGCGGGAAATTCAGCCCAACTCGGGCACCGCATAAGCCCCCTGACCCGATGCTCCTCCGCCGCGGGAAGGACCCCCCAGCGGCGCCCAGCCTCGAGCGCCGACCCCCTCCGAAGTTCGCCGCGGGGCATCTGTCAGACCCTTCCTGCCGAGAGCGCGCCTCGTCGCTCTCCCGAGAATGGCACCAGCCTCATTCACGCAGCCCTGATCTGGGACCCCCCCATCCATGCCCGACAGCAGGGCCCCCCGGAGATCACGCCTGGACCCGAGCGAATGCCTGAGCACGCATAGCCGCCCCCGCACGAAGCGAACCCGCCGTCGTGAGCCACCACCCCAAGGATACGCGAGGACCGACCTAGAATAAAACGACATGACAGGGCCCTGCCGCGCGCAACTGTTCATGGCCAAGCTCCCAGCCCCGAATATACGAACCAGAGAGGCGCGCCCATCTGGGTCGATCTCCGCCCCGATGTCCTCCAAGATCCCGAAAGAGAGAGACAGCTCCGAGACGCCCACTCGAGAAAGTGCGCCGAGGCCTTCGATGCAGAGGGGCCCCGGGGGGCTGCGCGGGGACCGGCGTCTTTGTGATATCGTCGGCGTAGCTAGAGATTGATGCCCACGTCCGTCGTCACCCCGCGAATCTCCAGAGCCTCGGAGCGGCGCTCGGAGGCGGAGGCCCGCTGGGACAGGAACAGGAAGAGCCCCTTGATGGAGCAGCACGGGAAGGCGGCTGTGTGGAGACTCCACCTGTCTGCGGCCAGCGCAAGGTAACAAGACAACTCCCACGTTGCAAAACTCAACGGACACTTCCGCTGCCCGCACCGCGCCTGTCAAGAACAAAGGGCTATCGGTGCGCAGTCGCAGACGATGCACGGGGCGAGGAGGACGATCCCCATTTCTTGCGGCCGGCAGGCGGTGCGTGTCCATGGGGGTGGTCGCCCACGGCGAGAAGCAGACGACCCACCTGGGGTCCTCCTCGCCCAGCAGGGAGGCAGCGGGCCCCGCGAGAAAAGAAAGATAATCCATCAGTGCGCTGCTCTTCTGGCCATGGTACGAGAGTGTTATGTGGGCCGCGTGCCTCTCCTGCCCGAGCCGTGGCGGCGGCTGGAGGACGAGGAGGACGAGGAGGAGGCGGAGGAGGAGGAGGAGGAGGAGGCTGTCCAACATATGATGCCAAAAACGTCCAAAAGCATTCAGGAAGAGAGTGATCAGGAGGAGGGGGAGGGGGCCCTGGACAGTGCCCCGCCTGTGGCTCGCTGCCCCCTGAAGGAGCCGCTGCCCCGTTCGGTGCCCACAGCCCTCTACGCGCGGGCTCGTGCTGTGACTCGGCGGCGCACCCAGGGGTAAAGTGGAAAGGAGGCAGGCCTTCTCAGAGGGCGGCAGAGCTACTCAGAAACCCAGGGGGGAAGTGGAAAGGAGGCAGGCCTTCTCAGAGGGCGGCAGAGCTGCTCAGAATCCCTCGCGCCTTCTGAAGAATGTCCGGTTTTCGAAGAAGGCGTAGAAAACGTCGTAGAAGGCCCGAGGCCAACCGGGCCTTCTGAGAAGGCCCGCCCCCTCTTACTTCCCCCCTGGGCTCGCCGCCGAGTGACGGCCCCAGTAGGCGGCTCGTCGATCGCCAGATCGGTCTCTGCTGGCCGATTCGGGTCCGCTGGCGGCGCTCAACCTAGAACGACCGCTCTGGTGTCGCAGCCGCGTCGGCACGACACGAGCCTGCCGTGTGGCCCCGCAGGGAGCTCCACCGACGGTCTCAGAGGCACCGTCCACACATGGGCGTCACGGCCCTATCGGCACACCCGTCACACTCCTCGTGGCCCCATAAGAAGCTCCGATCAAGGCATCAGGCGGGGATCTCCCGAGAAGCCACGCCGGCACGACACGAGCCGCGCCGACACGACACGGCCCTGCACTGCGGGTGACCCGAGAAGGGCGAGGTCCCTCTCCAGCAGCGCAGTGCTCCACGGTCCTCATCGGCAGCGCCCCGACGGCATCGACAGCGCGCCCCAGCCGATGTTCCACCACCACTACCACTTCCGTAGGTCGGAGGAGGAGGAGGAGGAGGAGGAGGACAAGGAGGACAAGGAGGACGAGCCCAATTTTCCTCCCTTCTCCCCCGTCCTGCTTATGGTAGTGGTGGTGGAAAACTGGCCCATCACCGCAGGCATCGGCATCGGCGTCGGTAGCGATGGCATCGGCATCTCCACCTGCACCGGCAGCATGCCACGACGGCATCGCCGAGCGCCACCCTGCTCCAGAGCTCAAGAGGGCTCCAGGGGTCGGGCGAGCTGGCAGCAGCCTCGCAGATGCCCTGGCCACTCTCCCCGCGGCGGTCAGAAGGGAGCGGTCCCAGCCCCCGCGCACCACCACCGGAACGCTCCGCTCGGCCTCGCCACCAGAGTCGGTCCTTGCTGTTGTTTGCTTCCCCTCCTTCCCCAACCTCGAGACCGATCCTTGAGTGCACGACTTCATCTTGGAGAATTATCGAGCTGCTTGGGTGCAGGAGGGGAGGTGCAGCTAGGACGAACTATCTGCTGGCAGAAAGATGGCACCCACAGGGGACGTCCACGTCAAAAGTCTGCGAACTACCGCCATCAGGGACGACGAGGGGCCAGGGCAAGACTCTGAAGCGGTCAACACGGAGAAGCTCTGGCGGTAAAAGCATGGGGGCCCGCGAAGAGAGGCCTCGTAGATGGGATCGAAAGATTGCGCCGCACCGACGATACATCGGCGATGCATCGTCAGCGTCGGCGATGCATCGGCGACATCGACGCGGAACAAAATGGGATCTGCACCGAGACGCGTCGCCCTTGCATCGGCAATGCGGAGCGATCCTTCGACCGCGTCTACTCGGACCCCAGCTGGGAGGCACAAGGAGAAGGGAGGGCGGCCCTCTGAGAATAAGACGAAGCCAGGACGAGTGAGGAGAACTAAGAATCTCTGAGATCTGGCTGTTCTGGAAGATGTCTCGGCCGCCGCGGCCTTCTTAGAGTGTTCCAGAACGCTTTGAGAGCGTTCTGGAACGCTCTGGAAAATATTTATCCTCGTCCTA